TTCCCTCCCTCCCCCCCCCCCCCCTCCCCTTTTTTTTTTTTTTTTTGGAATAAGCATAAATTTGTTTGTTCTTCATGGAAATGTTACGTATAGACATCAAGCAACAAAGCAATTCCAGTTTTCCTCAATAAAGAAAGCTTAACAAGTGATCATGCTTTTGCCGTTGAACACCAAGCCGTCTGAAGAAAAAAATGACAGCTAGGGCCTACATCTATTACAAGCAGCTAATCTTTTAAAACAGAGTAATTATCCTACTTTACTCCAGTAGACTGCGTCCACACGGGGGAGTTAATTTGGAATAAACACAGAAGAACAGCTATTCCAGAATACCTGTTCAATTTTCCTTCTGGAAAAAAAAAGAGCTTTAAAGATAGACCAGCTATTTCCTCTTCTCCAATTTCTTTATATATATATTTTTGACTCTGTTCCCAGGCAGAGCTATCTTCACCATGGTCCTGACAGCCAGGCGCTGACCATCTCCAAAATCACTTCAAGTTCCATGCCCAAAGGCAGACTCTCACGCCCTCTTAGCCCACTGTATCAGTGCACATGCTACCACAGGAGATTTTAAAATACAGTGTTTCCTCATCCCGTGTGTCCTTCTGCCTCCTAAACAATCTGACAAAATCTATGACAAAACACTACTTACGCTTCTGGAGAGAAGTCTTTTTCTTTGCAAACTTCCATCAGTTTGGGAGTCAGCCTATATGCCTTCAGTGACAAAGACCCTTGAGCAGTCTTAATAGGATCTAGAATTAAAAAAGGAGGAATATTATTACTAACCCAGGTAGCTGGGGTGTTGGGGTTGGTTTTCTTTTAGTTTTTTTAAAATGTATGCACGACAAACAGGAGGAAAATAACTAAGTAGTCCTATTAAAAAAAAAATAAGACAACCAACACAGAAAAGACACTACAGAGGAATTAAACCTATTGTACTGAATTGTAAAATGCATCAAACTATACACAGCAAGGCTAATTAATACACTTAGAGAATGAAGGGATTTTGATCCATTCTATTCACAGCATTTTTTCCCCATTACAGGTCTAATTCACGTTTTCTTTCATATGAACTATCCACAGAATTTATGCAAGAGCTACCTCATTTAAATAAAGATTTTCCCTCCAGTCATTATGCAGCAAATTAAAATATTCATTAAAGTACATTTTATATCCCAAAAAAATGTAATTTTAGAGTAGTAATAAGCTAATTCAGATCAAGTTGCCTTGCTGCTTCGTGCATAACAATGCAACGTGTATAAAAAGATTAGTTTTACCTTGACATACTCTCCTGAATTTAGGAGGGAATTTTCTAAACAAACTGTTACATTCCTAGGACAAAGAAGCTTAACACTTGCAGCATGATAACAGCTGAAGCATGCCAACATGAGAATAAAAGCTGTGTTAACATTCATGTTGTCTGAAACTTAACACAGTAAAACTTTTAGCAATCGGTGATAAAATGAAAACCAAAATAGACTGAAACAAGTGGAAAATTCATCAAGGTCTGATGATGCAATGTTTCCAGCCAATATAAGTATACTTTAACAACTTGTTCTTTACTGTAATCCAATTGTTAACATACTGAAACAATTTTGGGGCAGCTCATAAGATTGATCGTATTCATTAGTATTTTTTCTGACAGATACTCAGGACGTTACATTTACTTCTCAGCTGGAAACTATATGCAAGTCTGCCAGATATGGCAAACTGTGAGTGTTTGGGGAGGGGGAGGCTATAAAGCTGTTAAATTGCCTACGGTTCTGATACAGCACAGAACATCTGGTCTGGAGAGCTTGAGGAAACACCATTAAATAGGCAGAAAAGAAAAAAATCTTTGTGCTAAGAAACAGTCCAGGTTTTGTATGCTTCTGTCAGAGGTATAAAAAAAAACTTGGCAATTCGTGCGATGATTGGTCAGTCACGTACAGAGCCAGACACGCTAGCAAGCGGCGTTTGTTAGACATCTGGTCGGGTTCCACCAGCCCCTTCGACGAGGGAGGGGAGATGAAGGAATAAAAATGAAGCAGCTACTCCAGCATTCCAAAACGTACACATCAGGGCTCTGATAGCAAGAAAAATAAACAGAAAGAAGGAAACCCTGTCTAGACTTAGCTGCTGCTGAGGCTGCCGTAGACACAGGGTTGGTATTTACTCGAAAAGGCCTGCCAGGCTAATCTTACAGGCAAAAGACAGAATACAAAAATAGTAGTAATAATATTAAGAGGGGAAAAGAATAATAAAGGAAACCTCATACTAACCGTAAATGAGAACTACAGACTCCTCAATTGCGTGCTGGTAACTGAACTGGGAGTCCAGGAGGGCACGAGTGACAAAAGAGCCATAGTATGTAGACTGGTACCAGCCAACGTGAAGATGATCAATGTTTACGTGGCGAAGGCTTCGCATCATTTCCATCTGGTATTGAACTAGATTAAAGAAGAAGTAGGTATAAAAAGTAAACTTACACAATTTGTACTATTTCAAGAGAGCCTGGTACTAAAGGAGTAAATTGTATTTTAATTTCATTTTGTAACCGCATAGAAGTTTTTTTATTCACTGATGGACTGTCTTCACTAAAATCCAGAGCTTCCTTGGAGAATAAGACCAGCCTAAGTAAGCATACTTTTTTCAGCTGCAATTAATTGCTAACGTGATCAACAAACTGTTACATGTCATTTCCAGTGTGCACTACCTTGCTCATTCATTAAAAAAAACCCAACACTGATGCTGGGTTTCATTAAGCAATAATATTTTGTCATTTAGTAACAAAGACATAGTGTGGTTTAAGTGAAAGTACTGTCAGGAATTAGGTAACTTTTGGAATCAAAATGAGAATTATTTAATTAGTTAGTATATGAAATATAGGCTAAGCTATTTCTGCCTTTTTCACAAGGTAAAACCACATTTTCCCTAATAGAGTTTGAGGTACCAGCTACAGCTGTCACATAGCTTTGATTGCATTTATCTTCAAATTTTCAACACTTTTTCTTCTTTTTAGATATATATCCAAATGCATATATTATACATAATGCACACATATATTTATATACAGTAAGTTACCCTAGACAGCAGAGAACATTTTTGTCATTTTTTTTTACGTCACCAGTTGTAACATTTCATTGTATCAACAACTAAATTCTGTTTCTACTAAACGCCTCATTCAAGCAAATTGCCTTGATGGAACCAAATTGTATTTAAGAATGTTTACCATAATCCCATTGAGCAGATCAGCACACCTTATCACTTATCAGACCTTTTAAACAGACAGTGCCTGCTGGTTAAATTTAAGGAAACAGAGATTTCAGTGTGATTATCAGATGAACCAACGCTCACAGCCAACTGATAGGAAATCAAGTGCAACCGTACTGCACGACTCTTAAGTTCTGTCTGCAGCTGCAAAATTCCCAAAGATAAACAATCTCCTGCTATGCATTCATTTTTGTTAATTTTTTTTCAAGGCTTCTCCTTTCACAGATGAAAATATGATGTTCATTATAAAACAAAGCAACATAAATCAATTAAAGAACAGAATGTGCTATGTTTTCAGACCCAATTTCATACACTTTCAGGAGAAAAAAAAAATCCATCCATATTCTTTAAAGATATGAGGAGACATTTTCCAAGACTCTTCCAACTTATCACCCTTACAGCACAAACTACATTCTGCAGTCTGCTGGCCCTTTTCATTAAGCTGCTGTATCTTACTAACTGTATTTTTAAAGTAATCTACATATACTCATATAAGCCCTTAGAGACTTTTTCAATCAGATTATGTTGGTTTTCAGAATATCTTAGTATAACAGACTTGCAGTTTGTGTTTCATTCAGGACACCATGATAATACAGCACGGCAAAACCAGTACAGCAAAAGCATCCAGTCTACACTCTGCAGTCCCATGACACATTGCAAGCAAAGAAAAGGCCAGCACCACTCGGCTGTCTCTAAACCAAGACAAATCTAAAGATGCCACCACATGCTCCAGGCCAGACAGTTACGCAGAACTGATCAAACAAACAATTTCAAAGTCAGTTTGAAAATCTTTCCCCTTGACAGATCAAAATAAATTTTAATACCTCTTTCAGTTTCAGAAATACAGGCCACTTTCAAGCACACTCCTTTCACAGCAGCCCCTGATTTAGCAAGTAGCATCGCAATGTTTCTCCCAACAGCAAAGCCAAGATCTAGTTTGTCAGCGAAGCTCATTCTTTAAACTTAAAGGTTTTGCTGTTGGTTTTGTGTTTGGGTTTTTTCGACCAAGGCAAGAAAACATGAAGAACGCAGACGTCCCCCCCTGCCTTGACCAAACGAAAAACTCCTGCTGTAACTACAATTTTGAATTGAAAAAGCATATGATTCATTTATTAAATGTAGCTAGAATAAACTATTTTCATAAAAAGATATTTTTTCAAAGATATATCTGTGTGAAAAGCAACTAAGACTTGCTTTTGACATGATGTGCTACAACATGCTAAGACGTGAAATTATGGTTAGATCTTTCTTGCCAAATGACGTCATGAAAAGGAAAAACTAGTAAGGGATTTTCAAAAGCAGCTGAAAGAAATAAAACATTTTTTGAGAATTATGTTAACTGGATTTTTAGATAACTGAGGTAGATTATTCCTTGCAGTGGCAATTCTCTTGTAACTGAGGACACTGTCAAAGTAGAGGTGCTCATGCAATGAGGGGAGGACGCTTATCTACAGTTTCCTATGAAATCATGTGGTTGACCAATTCAGATAATTTCTTCCTTATGAGATGTAATGATAAAAAGTAAAAATACCCTAAGAAAACATCCAGATCTTTTACAAACCTGAATAAATGCATATCATGCTCTTAAAAGCATTCAGCCGAGACGTAAATCGTAAGCAAGTTCCAGGACAACGTCTTTTATTAAACACAGTATAACCAGCAACATGCAACCAAACATAAGTTAAGCAATATCATCTAGAAAATGGACTCACTGAAAATCATCCAGATTTCAAGTCAGCAATTCCTCCTCTCATGACTGTTAGTAGTTAGATGATAATGAAGGCAATAGCAGAAAAATCTCAAAGAACCAATAAAGCATCAATAGCTAACATCTCTGCCTTGGGAAAACAACTGCAGAAATTAAAACATGATGCAGTTCCCACCAGGGAGAAATGGAAACTCTTTTAACCAAACATATATATTTCATAACACATATTAGTAGCTAGATAGCTCCAGCCAGCTGCCAACTTGCACAAATGGATAACAGCCCCCAAGCTGCTTTTGCTGATATCATTACCACTGTTTCTTCAGATCTTTTGCCCAATCTACAAAACATCATCTTTTAACCTAGAAGTTTAGCTCAGCCTAGGCAAGAGTTCTCTCCTTCTACCCTGTCCTCAATCTGCTAGGACTTGGGGTAGTCATGCACTTCTAAGGAGTTCACTGTTTCAAGTCATAGCCCTGCCCAAGCCATGTCACAAAGGTGCCACTAAAAGGTGTCACTAAGTCTGAGTGTACTCAGAATTGAGGGGAGCAAGGAAAAGAGCAGGGAAACAGCCAGACCAGTGTACCTGTATTTTTGAGCAAATTATTTGTTCAGGAATGTCCTTATGATGAGGAAAGCCAACAGCTATGCCTGCTGCTTGCTTTGAGAACACGCACCGTCTGTCTCCTGAGCCATCAAGCATCTCCTGAGCCCCTCTCTGGGGTGGACTTCTTTTGAATATAAGATTCTCTCTTTTGTTATTATTAAAAAAAAAAAAAAATCCTGTCTCTAAAATGGGCATTTTTTCTGTTAATCTGCAAACAAAGCCAGAGGAGGGATTCATGCAGCTAGAAAGCATTACTATAGTTTGTCTAAAGCATTAAAAATGTGAAATTATTAGTGTTTTGCTTGAATATGCCTGACTTGTGTGAATTTGTACTAACAAACTCCCTTGAATGAAAATAGTAAACCTTATTATAATTGCTTGGTGGGTATTTTTTCCCCCTGAATTCAACTATGTTTTACTTGTTGTAAAAGATTACAGAAAAAACTAAAATAATGTAAATGCTTTTTCCTCTGCTAAGAAGTACCGGCAGCATTAGAAACTTTAACTGGATTTTAAAACACAGGAGGTACATACTCTATCTTAACTACAAGAAAACAACATACTCAAAATTATAAAATAAATCAGAGAAAAGGCCAAGAACTGAACACTAATATGATGACCCATTCAACACTGGGACAACCCAGCTACATTTTTTAAATACCTTAAGATATCCTCTGTCAACAACTTTACTACTTGAAATCATAATTTAATAATAGGTCAAATTAACCAAGGTACGGGGGGGAAAAAAAAGAAAAAAAAAGGTCCATGTGATCATTTTAAAATGCAAACAAACCTTAGACATCAGACTTTACAAAGAACTGGCGAATTCACATCCTTCTTGAAATAACAGCTTATTTCTAAAATCCTTCCAAAACAAGTGTGTTCTTGTAGCAACCTGATACATGATACAAGTTTACTTATCACCAAAACTGTATTATTTTTATTTCTTCATGAACAATTCATTAAAATCCAGATCTCAGAAGGTCACACATCAATGTATGTGTTGCCAAAATTTAGTCTTTAAATAGTTATTGTTACCATCAGATGAGATGCATTTCAGCCTGGCCGCATTCAGACTGCTGGTAAATATTATGACTGATCAAAGATCGCCTGGAGGCAATACATTTGATGGCACCTCAGATGCTCAGGGCCTTGATTTCCAAAATACATTACAAGTTGATATGCCTTAAGAAATCCGGTTTTAAGAGCAGCAACCAACATGTCTGGAGCACCTCTCCTATGAGGACAGGCTGAGAGAGTTCGGCTTGTTCAGCCTGGAAAAGAGAAGGCTCCAGGGTGACCTTATAGTGGCCTTTCTAGTACCTGAAGGGGGCCTCAAGAAGCTGGGGAGGGACTTTTTACAGGGCTCTGTAGTGATAGGACGAGGGGTAATGGGAGGAAGCTGGAAGAGCTTAGGTTTAGACTAGATATAAGGAAGAAGTTCTCTACCCTGAGGGCGGTGAGGCCCTGGAACAGGTTGCCCAGGGAGGTTGTGGATGCTCCATCCCTGGCAGTGTTCAAGGCCAGGCTGGACAGAGCCTTGAGCACCCTGATCTAGTGGGAGGTGTCCCTGCCATGGCAGGGGAGTTGGAACTAGATGATCTCTGAGGTCCCTTCCAACCCAAATCATTCTATAGTTCTATGTCTCCTAAAAAGTCGCAACGAAGTGAAGAACTTCAAGCCCAGTATTGCCCATCGTAGACCGGTTTTATGTTTGTCTTGACTGACACTTCACAAAATTTGTCCTTAAACCATGAACTCAAACAACAGAAGTTACACATGTCCTCATGAGGGCAGGTCACTGGTTCAAGAGCAAGGTGGACCTTTATTGCTCCCTCATAACACCCAAAACCCTCCTCAAAAAGACTCCAGAGTATCTGAGGATGAACACTGTTTCCT